TTTCTGTTGTCCCCCCCCCACCCCAAGTGGATGTATCAGATGTCTAGCTTTCTCTAAATGTGTTTTTAATTAAATGCAGATTTTAAATAGTTGTATTGTTAAATCTGGAACATAAGCACTTAAAACACCCAAAAGATAACTGACAGTGGTCATGACCCTTCAGGAAAACATAAATAAAAGCCTGTCTCATGTGGTGGAGTGCAGTGAGTTCATGTAAATTGAGTCCCTTTATCAGCCAATCAGAGCGCAGGTCACATGCAAAATAAAAAGCCGACGACGAGTCCTGAAATCTGATTGGACGGTTCAACATCCTGACGTAGCCGCAACCCGACGAGGCCCCACCCTAACTGCAATACAGCACCAAATAACAGGGAAGCAGTCAAAACACAGAAGAACCCCCAAAGAACTGCTCAAACAGTGTACGCTGTCAAATATGATACGCCTATATAACCAATGGAAAGGGAGAAAAAAACTGATTCCTGTCACTTAAAGCCGATCTCAAATCAGAACACGTGTGAGAATTAAACGCATGCCATACACATGCTCCAGAAACAAAATCAAAACACTTACCAAATCTTCATAAGATCGCGGGTGTTCAGTTCCTTCCCAATCCAACCGACGTGGAAGGAGCTATCAAAAAAATAAATAAATAAAAAATAAGCCGGGTTAATACGGTCGAAAGGAAATCGACGTAAGCCAAGTTACCTCAATAAAAACACCAGCGGTAAAGGTAAACAAGCTCAAGGCAAGCGATAATGAAAAGTAGCACACTGCCAAATCCATGTTTCAATCCAAGAGGGAAGCACACACACACACACACACACACACACCACGGACGGACATAAAGAATGAAGTAACCGAGCAACACACCTGATTTTCCTCCAGCTCACACACGAGAGCCTGCAACAGATGAGAATGAGCTCGGTTCGGTGCTCTCATCCAGATGAGCATCATTTAAACACAACACTCGTATTAAAGCCAACTCACCTCAGCCGCTTTCCGACACGGCCCCGTGCTCAAATAGCGCGATATCAAGTAATACAACTCTGCGAAAGGACACCGCGAGACCGTTTATTATTTGCTTAAAGATGAAGACACTAGAAAACTACCTCTTGATAATATTCCTAAATGTTACTTTTTGAGCCTTACCCGATTCAAGGGGTGAAATACTCCCATTTCTGGCTGTAGTATCGGCCATAGCGCAAAGAACACGGTGTTTGGAGACGAACTTTATGTGTAGTTGGTCAATTATATAATTATTTAATGTCGATTGTACGCTTCGTACCCCCTCCGCGACTGCTCCCGCTTTCTGTTCGGCCAGTTTTCGGTCGCCATTGGAAGTATGAGGCCTGAGCTCACAGCTACTTCCGCCAGAACGCCGGAAACAGGGGGAGGGTAGAACTCCTCGTCTTCTTCAGCAAAACAGAAGCCACGCGGAGATCTAAAAGTGTGAAAATTCAGTGTGCGAGTCGTCGATGTAAACCGAAACGTTCCTTGCTGTTTCGTCCCAAGCGAAACAATCTTCAAATAACAATGAAGACCCGCGCTCCCGTTCGAACGGCTGGTTCGTGACGTCACATCGCATGGCGACAGTAGAACCGTTCTTTTGTCTATAAAACAGTCTGAGAACGTGACGGTTTGAATATTTAAATATATGCACACAACTAATATTAGCCACCAGCGCTACTTATTAACACATGCATGTGGGGTTACGTTATGTATATTATGCATAAATTGCTACATTTACACACATATGTCCACTGACAGAAAGCGCACATGCTGTGGGAACAACATAAATCCATGTTTCAATCCAAGAGGGAAGCACACACACACACACACACACACACACCACGGACGGACATAAAGAATGAAGTAACCGAGCAACACACCTGATTTTCCTCCAGCTCACACACGAGAGCCTGCAACAGATGAGAATGAGCTCGGTTCGGTGCTCTCATCCAGATGAGCATCATTTAAACACAACACTCGTATTAAAGCCAACTCACCTCAGCCGCTTTCCGACACGGCCCCGTGCTCAAATAGCGCGATATCAAGTAATACAACTCTGCGAAAGGACACCGCGAGACCGTTTATTATTTGCTTAAAGATGAAGACACTAGAAAACTACCTCTTGATAATATTCCTAAATGTTACTTTTTGAGCCTTACCCGATTCAAGGGGTGAAATACTCCCATTTCTGGCTGTAGTATCGGCCATAGCGCAAAGAACACGGTGTTTGGAGACGAACTTTATGTGTAGTTGGTCAATTATATAATTATTTAATGTCGATTGTACGCTTCGTACCCCCTCCGCGACTGCTCCCGCTTTCTGTTCGGCCAGTTTTCGGTCGCCATTGGAAGTATGAGGCCTGAGCTCACAGCTACTTCCGCCAGAACGCCGGAAACAGGGGGAGGGTAGAACTCCTCGTCTTCTTCAGCAAAACAGAAGCCACGCGGAGATCTAAAAGTGTGAAAATTCAGTGTGCGAGTCGTCGATGTAAACCGAAACGTTCCTTGCTGTTTCGTCCCAAGCGAAACAATCTTCAAATAACAATGAAGACCCGCGCTCCCGTTCGAACGGCTGGTTCGTGACGTCACATCGCATGGCGACAGTAGAACCGTTCTTTTGTCTATAAAACAGTCTGAGAACGTGACGGTTTGAATATTTAAATATATGCACACAACTAATATTAGCCACCAGCGCTACTTATTAACACATGCATGTGGGGTTACGTTATGTATATTATGCATAAATTGCTACATTTACACACATATGTCCACTGACAGAAAGCGCACATGCTGTGGGAACAACATCTGCAAATGAAGTTTTTAATCTCCTTTTCTCCCCTTTAGATACTAAAGCAGTTACATTGGCCCCAAAAAGTATCCAGACACTTATGTATAACTTTGCATTTAAATAATAATAAGTGCTTTTAAAGAGTTAGCACCAGCAAGCATACATTTCTTGCAAAAACATGTTACAAAATAAGGTTGGTAATTATAAAACATATACAAATCATGCTATTTATAACTATATTATCACACAGCTTTTAATATAAACTTGGGTATCAAAGTATGCACAACTGTATCCGCATACATACAGTATATTTACAGTATGTAAAACAAAATACGTTATATCGAAAATCTCAACTGCAATAAAATGCTTCCAAAAATGTAGACACTAAAACCACTTTAAAATGCATGAATGTTTCATTCGAAAAAAAAAACATTAGAGAAACTTTGATACAGTTCACAAACAATACAAATTGATTCCACATCGTTTTGATGTTTAAAATATAAATTGTCATAAAAAATAAGTTTTACTATAACTTATCACTTCCCACGCATCCTTGCTCAATGAAAGTATTAATTTCTTTAAAAATAATAATTATTTACCCCAGTCCTTTGAACAGTAGTGTATATACAACATTGATAATAAATCGGCATATTAGAATTTCTGAAGGATCATGTGACACTGAAGTCTGGAGTAATAACTGCTGAAAATTCAGCTGTGCATCACATACATTACATTATATTTTAAAGTACATTAATATAGAAAACCATTATTTTATTTCACAATATTACCGTTTTCTGAATTTTTGATCAAATAAATGCAGCCTTGCTTCTTTAAAAAACATAAAAAAATCTTACTGTTCCCAAAATTTTTGAACAGCAGTATATAAATAAATTAAAATAAATGTATGCATTTAGCAGACGCTTTTATCCAAAGCGACTTACAGTGCATTCAGGCTATACATTTTGTTATATATTATATGTATACTTTCTAACCAATGTTACACCAAAACTAGATGAATATGGGAAGATAATAAAATAGAAATTTAATGTATTTCACATATTGACATGTCAATGAAGCATTAATTTTCCAGCTATCGCTTCCATTATGGAATTTTATCGGTTTTATATCTTATCTAGTGCTCTTTTTAAATCACAGAAAGGAAAACAGAAGGGCAAAATATCAAGTGAAATTACAACCAATTTATTTGTATGCCATACCAATCATTACAGATACAGCTAAATAAAAAAATAAAAAAAGGAAATTAAAAAAAAAGAAACTGTACATGTTTACTTTTAACCTAAAACCTTGAGTGATATAGCTACTTCTGACATGTTCACATGAATGAAATTAGTCATTTTTCGTATAACCTGCATGTTTAACACTGTAACACAGCTGTTATTAGCTTTGCTAACACGCACAATTCCATTTTTCATCCTCTTAAAGTACCATCACATACTGCATATAGAAATTATGAAAACCTTTTCACAGCAGCTATACAACATTGCAATGCTATCACCACACAAAGACAAAAGTCAATGTAAATCACACAGCCGATGAGTGTTCCAGTACTAGTGAGCAGGATCGTTAATCAAAGCTGTTGATTCATTAAACAGTTTGAATAAAGAGGTTTCAATTCATAGAATACAGCTTACAATCAATCCCAACCCCCCAGAAACAATAAAACAAAGCATTTTCTTACAGAACCCCCTTCCCATACAATACAGTCTACATACAGGTGTCCCTCATATTGCCTATGGAATGTTAGTGTCTCAGGCAAACTCTCGCAGTTTCAATCGAAAGACTGAAGAAATTTAATTTTTTTAATCTTTAAAAATGGCACGATCACATTATCTGTCTCAACCCGTTACACTCCCCTCCCTTTTTGTAAAAACGAAAGAGAAAAAAACAAAACAATAATAATAATAATAATAATAAGAGGAAGTTGTTTCATGACTGCAAATCTCCTTCAGGAAAAATTGGGAGTGGGAAAAGATGGAATCCCTCTTCTAAGGTTTTTCTCTTGAACGTTGTCTATAAAATGAGCTTCTAATATTGAACTACTAAAAAAACTGCTTTTTAGAAAATAGTCAATAAAAATATTCCTCTGTATTGTACAAGAAAAGAGGTATGGGAGCTCTGGTGAAATGTTATTTAGCAGCTCCCTCTTTCTAGTCGGCCTGTTCCTCCTCGCCTCCTGCTTCATCATTGTCCCCCTGTAACAAAACCAAACCAATAAATAAATAAAATCAATAAATGTTTTCAACAGACATAGCCACAGATGCATCCCTAACTGACATTTATTTTCACTATCACTCTGGACTACAAATAGATACAGGGCCAAATATGTAAGCAATACCATAGAGCAGTGGTTCCCAACCCTGGTCCTTGAGGCACCCCAACACTGCACATGTTACATGTCTCCTTTCTCTGACACGCCAGTTTCAGGTCTTGGAGTCTCTACTAATGAGCTGATGACCTGAATCAGGTGTGTTTGATTAAGGAGACATGCAAAATGTGCAGTGATGGGGTGCCTCCAGGACCAGGGTTGGGAACCACTGCCATAGAGGACCAAGTTTTAGATGAATTATTCCAACTTAATTATAAAATGACTTACTACCTCATCTTTGGTCTCTCCGTTCTCCGCAGGAGTTTTCTCCTCAGACTCAGTCTCTGGCTTTGCGTCCTCTTTCTTCTCCTCTGGTTTGGCCTTTTCTACCTCCTTGCCCTTTGCAGGTGCCTTCTGTAACGTTTCAGAGAAATACATGGTTAAGCCACATCCGGCAACATTTATTAATAGCAATAAATCTTAATTTGATAACTGATTTACCTTCACTTTTGGCTTGGGCCCAGACTTTGGTGTTTGGGGTTTCTGCAAAACAGAATTCAGCGTAAGCTATAAGCCTCAAAAAAAGGTAATTATGTAAATATGTCTTCGGAGGGACTGACAAAACCAACTTACACCTTGAAGTCTCTCAGACCGCCTCTTGGGCTGTTTGTTCATTTGATGAGGGACAAAATGAGAAGGCAACAAAAGAAACAGGCAATAAGTATCGCAGTTATATGCAAAAACGTGTTATTTGTCAGTATGTGTAACAGACTGTGTGTGTAACAAACTTACCCCAGCTGCTTCAGTGTCATTGTTAGCCTGTACCAGAGGAAACAGAAGCTGTTAGTATGTGTACATAGATCATGTCTGAGGGGGGAGGTGTTGTACCCCTACACCCCCTCCAAGTGATGGGCCGTCTTATAATCAGGGTCGTCTTATATTCGGGCCAATACGGTATGTTATCTAAAAGTGAACGTGGGGGAGGGGTAGACCATGGGTCCTGTAAAGCGTTACACATTCAACTCACAATTCCTTTATTATACAAGTTAATTTTGTCGCGAAAACATGGCGAAACAAAAAATAAACTTGGGAAAATAAACAAAAATAAAACAACCGGTGATCGTGCATTTATTTGCATTAGCTTTGTCGAGCGTAGCGAACTTATTGTCGCTGGTAACGATGTTACCGAAAAATGTCCGTGCTTGAGTAACGTTAGTTCCCATGGAGGAGGGGAACAGTAACGTTAGCTCCGCCTCCACAGACAGAATTCATTCACTTTCGACGAGCAAACACATTAAACATCGACACATTGTTCACATAAACCAGGTTTGCGTCGAGATTAAAACAGACAAGTGAAAACGGGAGGTTAATATCTTTAGTACACAAATAGTCGGTGTTGATAACTTTCTTTAGCCACTTTACAAAGTTCGTTTCAAAGGTCAAGTGAGAAATTCAGGCGGGATACGCAAGCAAAAACCGAATTATGAAATAAACCTGCTGGGATAACAACTTGTTTGGATATAACGTTAAGGCTTCAAATGTGTTTAGTGCAAAGGCAGCCATGACACTCAAGACTATAGTATGTGTGACTGTGTCCTCGAGGACCATATGGAGTCGTACACAACTACACATGTATTTAGTTACACAAGGGGTCTAAAAAAATCCCACAATGTCCTCAAATTTACAACTTCGACTGCTTCGTATGTATATGGTTAAAAGCAAAACATTTGCAGGACAAGCTCTTCTCCGCGAGGAATAACGCGACCTAACGTTACGCGGTTACACCCCTTTGTCTGATCATTACTTTGCGTATTCTATACACGACTTTAATGTAAAAGTAAAGCCGAGAATGCTCTATTCTGTAAATATCCACACACAGTCGACGGAATATAACGTTAGCACAGCTCGAAGTAAAAAGGCGCCAGATTCATGCCACCGACTCACATGCCCACATCCAGCAATGCAGTCAACACTCGCATAACTTCACATAAAGCTTTCGAAACACGTGCATATTTAATTATCACAGGCTATTAAAACCATACTATAAATTTTTATTTTTTTATATATATTTTTGAACTTACTTTGCTCCTTTTAGGCATGGCTGCGTAAATCTTGTATGCTTTCAGAACAAAAAGGAAATCAATTAAAACAGCTTACGCGCTGATAAGTAAAGTGTAAGAACCGGGTCTAGGAAACACTGAAGCAAGCATTAATGTCCTATCGGAACACAAACTAGCTGAAACCGGATTGGATCTCCCCTTTCTATATTCTTTTCATTATAGCACTAACCTGATGCGAGCTACGCTCCGCCCCTTCTCAGCGGTGATTGGCTGAAACGTCTTGGCAAACACATTTCAAACCAAAGCAAAGTACCTGTGTGGATAGGTTGAGATGTCAATCACAGATTTGTTTACAGAATTGTTTCTGTAAGCGTGTAAATATATATTCTGTATTGATTGCATTGGTTATATATTCAGATAATTTGAATGCATTTAAAGAAACACGCCGCTTAAGAAAGAAAAAAAAAAACTTGATGTCTTATAAACATTCCCTTTTCGGATATTTGATATCTGTCGTTGCATATTTTTAGATAATATAAGCATATTGTAACATTTAAGGTAAGGAACCAGTTAAAAAACAGCGCTAGTGGGCTTGTATTATAGGGGGAGGATCAGGCTGATGAAAAGAAAATGGCTGCCGGGTTTAACTGGTTCTTTGTACTGAGCTCGGTGTTTCTGGTCAACCTCGTCAAAACATTGCTGCCGTCCATTTCTTCATTTGTAAGTACTGATTCAAAAGAGTTTTAGGGACGCGTAAGCACATATATAATTTAAACATACATTAGTCGTAATAATAAATGCTCTGTGATACAGTCACAGCAAACAAAAGCAGCTCTGTTCACCATCTCTAGATTTAGCTAAGCCAGACTCATTCATAAACACCACCTAGAGGACAGTTAATAGTGCCAAACAAACGTTTGATGTGGGCTAATAATATTTTACAAACCAATAAAACATACTGCACTTCTTTCATGGTATCAGATGACAGCACCATGTTACTGTGATGTATATAATGGCACTGAATGAATGATTTCATATAATACACCATTTCACGTACGTGGTACTTCAACATACTTGTCTTGTACCATGTTATACATTAAAAAAAAATCTGACTTAGCTTTACCATAGTGCCAAAAACTTGCTAATATCTGTTGCATATCTAGATTATAGTTATTATACATTGTAATGAGGACATTCAGAGTAATGAGTAATTCATAGTAATGCTTACCATAGTAAGCATTACTATGGTAAAATTGGAGAAATGTGTGCACTTGTAACCTAGATTTTATTTAACAAATGTAATGTTTTGCCTTTCTAGGTCTTTGCCAGTAAATCACCCTTTTGATTCTGTTTTTGGTAATAGTGTAAAAGCTTTGAGTAAATTTGATTGCAATCTAAAGTGAATGAGCAGATGTACATTAAGATCTTGTGTGTTTGTTCTCATAGCTGTCCAAGATCTTCCAGAAAGATGCTGATCAAGAGATGGAGATGAGGACGGAGATCCAAAACATGAAGATGGAGCTGTCCACCATCAGTATGATGGACGAGTTTGCCAGATATGCTAGACTGGAACGCAAGATCAGCAAGATTACTGATCAACTGATGACTCTTGGTAAAAGTTATTTTGTGCTTTTCTTAAAGGGGTATGTGAAATACAAGCATGTGCAGCAAAATGTTGATGAAGTGACAAGCTACAATAGCTATGTTTCCTTCACACTGTTTTTATGCACATTTCGAAATATCGCATCAGAATAATGGTAATGGAAACGCCAATTTTCGAAGAAGAAAAAAATCCCTTAATTCACAAAAAAGTTTTTACACTTGCTTGAGGTGGTTTTTGACTTGCGCGAAAAAGGGTTAATGCGAATAATGGGAGATGGAAATGCATTTTGCGAATAAATTCCTCCATGCGCATCAAAAAAGTCATGTGACTTTGTGCTATGGGAAGGCATAACCTAAAGCAATGACCGCATTTATTGTGTTTCGTCTGAGGCGCAAATAATTTATTATATATGAAAGTTATTGTATTCAGTGGCTTTAACTTTTCCTAGTGATATTTAGTGCCAGTTTATCAGGAAGTGACGATTTTGTTCTCTTTGACTCGTTGAATGGAAATGATGCTTATGGTGCGTTCAAGTCATGTCGGATAGATCGTATTTACGAGTTGAACGCACATGAACGCCACCACAAAGTCATTATTACGAGTGGGAAACTCGACATTTTCTTTAAGCCCCGAGTTTCCGTGTTGGGGGCGTGTCAATGAGAAACATAGCGGAATCGATGGCTGCAACGTCTGTAGTTGACGGTCAATTTTTGTTTAAATTGATCGTTTTGATGAAGTTTTTCAGATTAAAGTGGCTTCATAAATTACTTTTTAAAAATATTAAAAACGCAAAACACACCTGATGCGAATTCTTTGCTCTTCATTTTCTATAAGCAGAGTTAACAGACCCTGTTGTATTTTCTTGTAATTTATTAAAAGAAGGTACACCGCCATCTTGTGCCGACTAAACTGACTTGAACGCACCTGACGTCGTAATTACGACTTGTCAACTCGTAAGTACGAATGTCCCAGGAGGACTTGAACGCAGCATTATTCGCAAATGCTTTGTGATTTTCCAATTTTGCGCATAAGTTAAATTCGCAACTTTGGATGGAAACCCACTAATGATTGCTTTCTAACCAGCAAAACACAGAAAGAAGCCCACAAAACAGCCAAATTGTATAGCAAATGACATGTGTAGTATTGCTCTGTTGAAATCAAGAAGCAATGGGCAAGTGTTAAGATATTTGCAGTCACCAGCACACCTCACTGGAAGCATATAAACTGTCTTTGTCCACTTTATAGTGGGGCGAGAAGAACTGAGAAACCAAAGGTTTCGTCACTTTGCAGTGGAGAATTCAAAGTCTCAGGCCAAGTGTGGAAAATGGCAGGTGGGTTTCAGATAATTCATGAAATAAGACAAATGGCTTGGCTGCTGTCTGTTGCTGTCCTTCAAGTTATTGGAGAATAGCATAGATATAACTTGTTAAAGGCATAGCTCACCCAAAAATGAAAATTCTGTCATTTACTCAACCTCATATCGTTCCAAACTCATAAGACTCTGGGTCATCTTTGAAACACAAGTGAAGATACTTTAAACCTGAGAGATTTCTGTCCATCCATTAAAATTGTAAAAAAATATTCCGTATCGATAATCGAGTGGTTTCAATTCAATCCATTTCACATTTATTTGCATAGCAGGGTTCTCCAGGGCTGGATTTGAAGAAGCCTGTTTAAATGGAAACCATGAGTAGACAGAAATGTTGGTTATATTCATTGTCTGTCTGTCTTTTTTCTTTTTTACAGTAAAATCAAGAACTTCACAGCAGGCAAAAATGAAATGGATTGTAAATATTGTGTTTTACATTCTTCAGGTGGGTGAGGATTAATGTTTTAATTTGTGCTTTGATATGATTGATGTATGATTGATGTATGCATCAGTTGTTCATTTTCTCTCATGATGGCATTTTATTTTATTTTTTGCTGTCTGTTGTTAGGCGGCGCTCATGATCTCGCTCATATTGAAGTATTATGCAGACCCGGTCACAGTGGTGCCTAGTAAATGGATTGCTCCACTGGAGAGACTAGTAGCCTTTCCTTCTGGAATTGCAGGTATGTCCAAGTCACCAGTGGAATTTGATTGCCATTTTGGAAGGATAGTAGGATAAATTTATTTAAAGGGGTCATATGATGCTATTTTAAAGATCATTATTTGGTGTAACAGAATATGTTGACATGCTTTAATGTTCAAAAAACACATTATTTTCCAAATACTGTACATTATTGTAGGTCCTCTATGCCCCGCCTCTCTCAAACGCTCGTTTTCAACAAAGCCCCCTCCTTTGACAAGCACATTCTGCTCTGATTGGCCAGCTGACCACAAGCACGCGTCGGAAATATAACGCCCCTCCGTTCCGTTAAGTGGTTTAAGTGTGTAGTAAATTGATTTTAGCCTTCATTGTTTACAAATTCTTGTTGAATGACGTTTAAAGGTTTTTATTTAAACATTACTAACAAATTGCAAAACACTTTTTTTAAGGTTTATGTTGTAATCTCAAGCAAAGCAAAAGATTTTGTCTATTTATTGCTTGTACCAAAATTGTATATTATTTATGTCAGTGTTATAAATGTATTTATTGATTTTTGTTTTTCAACAAAATAAATAACAAATGAAAAGGTGTGTACAGTGTTTTATTTGCCTTTAAAGTAGTAAGTCTGATTTAATTTTGCAATCTGAATAAACGAGGCAGCAAAACGGTGCTAAACCATGATGGTCCTTCGACCATTCTTCACAGTTGGGAAGAGGTTTTAGTGTTGGTTTGCAGTGCCCCTTTTTGGTAAAAGATTCAACTTTTCTCAGTTGTCCCCAGAATATTTTCCCAGAAGTGCTGTGGAACATGGTCTTGGACAAAGATGAGACATATCCATGTATTTCCTTAATTGACACAGAGGATCACTTACCTTGTTGATCTCCTCGTCTCTCCAGCGTCCTTGTCTCCTGTGTTTCCTCTTCTCTGTCGTCATCAATAATGACCTGAGCTCCTCATGTCCAGTGTATCCCTGCAAGGTAAGACTATTCTATCAGTTATTCTCATCTGTCATGTTTTCATTCACAGATGCATCAGTACTGACCTGTTGTCACTGCTTCACTCACCATCTGCGTAAATAAAGCTCTGCTGTTGAGTTCATCTCCTGTCTTATACTTGCTGTGACATAAAGAGCAACTTGAGGTTAAAATCGATATAAATTGACATTCACGACTCATATTGCTTCTATAATGTGACTAATTTCTGAGTGGCACAGAGACTTCAACAAGTACATATTCTAGGGTAGGACTTGATTTGATCCATCAGGAATTTGTTTTGATCATGAAAAGTAGTCACTATGTTAGGTGGTTGGAGAGGAGGGCTTGGTGAACAGAACAGAAATGGAAATTTGGCATATTTCTACAATGTAAAAAAATAAAAATCTGTGAAATTTGTTTAAAAAAAACAGCAGTTGTGTGATGATGTTTTTAGGACTTTTTCACTGCATTATTAAGGACTATGCGACACCACCATATGTTTTGAATGAGAAAAGTCTACAGCGATATCAAGAAGAGGAGTGGTCCAAGCACCAAACCATGAGGAACCTCAAGCTCAAAAGTTCTGCTTGAATATTTTTTAAATATATTTGACACCTGAGGATTAAATATAAATTCATCACTGCATCACTTCTCATCCAAGCACAACAATCTTCTCACATTTTCCTCTACTTTAAGAGAAAAAAATATATATTTTTTGTACTTTTCTTTATATACTTTTTGTTTTTAATGTATTCAGAAGCTACTTAACATTACTCCGTGACATGTTAGTTAATTTCAGTGGTTGAGTTAACTATAGGCAACTTTGTTGCATTAATGTTAGATGACACATCAATGTACATTTACACTATAGCCTTCCAGCTATTTAATTGACGTTTAATAAATGTAACATCATTAGCTATAATATTAGTTATAGCTAGCTAGCTAGCCTTAATAGTTGATATAGAATATTTTCTTGTAATTTTATACATTATTGTTGCTGTTATTTATGATGCTTATTTTATTTTTGGTTGCAAGATCTTTATTTAACCAACCTTGCAACATAATGAACCAATACAGACAGAGTTCTTAAATTAACAGCTTGTTTTGTGCATGCACGTGAAACTTCTGGATTGCCACAACAAGGCAGAGGGGGAGTGATAATATAATGCACATCTTCAAATTTCCCATCAGATATGTGCTTAACTATTGCTAGGATGTTTTGGGTGTTTCCTGGAATGTTGCTATGATTTTTTTTTGGTCACTGCAAGAGCATTGCTAGATGGTTTCTTGTTGCCCAAAAGCACCCATCAGATATGTGCTTAACTATTGCTAGGATGTTTTGGGTGTTTCCTGAAATGTTGCTATGATTTTTTTTTGGTCACTGCAAGAGCATTGCTAGATGGTTTCTTGTTGCCCAAAAGCACCCACCTCAAGCCTCTGTGTTGTTCTCATCCTGTGACAGAGCCCAAGACCAAATTTGAATGGGTTGGCTAGGCTTTCTCTTCCCAGGCCAGATAGGTCATATTTTAGAAGAGAGCCGGGGACAACATTCTCTGTTGTTTCCCTGGACAACAACTCTGTCCCTGTATATGAGAGTGTGGGAACTTTCCAATTTAAACCTGTAGGAATTTTTCGTTTTATCATAATGAATTAGCAATATTAACCAGAAGTTTTTAAATAGTACCAACTCAACTGGCAGACTGGCCAGTCATCAAAATGTACAAACTTTTTATTTATTTTTTATTTACTCAATTAGGTTACAAATTACAAGTTTTTTAAAAAACAGCATCTCTGTCCATATATGCAAGTCACTCTAACATTAGCAGCTCCTGATGTGGACAGACTGCTGAAATTGCCAATCACTCAGACAGCAGTGGGACAAACGCACCAATCCCACCACCACATGATGCGCTGGGGACAGAAATAGACACCGAGAGGCTCGAGTCGAGGCTGTGTGCTTTCCAGCCAAAGTGGAGGGTGGATCGCTGTGTCTTTAAACACATTTTCCCTGGTCATTTTATTTTGCACTTCCACAAAATGGTCATTAAAATATTCCTGGCATCCTCATCGGGATCGACGGCGGTAAGAAACTGGATAACAAGTGTGATAGTGTTTCAGTCATTCAACAGGTCACTTTGCTTGATTGTGATTATGCTTTATACAGATTGCGGAAAGAACCAATCGCTAGTTCCAAGCATATTAGCAGTAACCAGCGGTGGATGTATTTTAAACTCTTAAAAACTGTTCTAACTCAAGTCAGTTTAAATAATCCTGAGTGACCTAATAACAGTTGCAGCTCCGCCAGTTTCCTTAAATATCTCTGAGATCACATTCCAGACTGCGGCAGCTATTCCTTTAAACATGAAACCGCCAGAATTGATTTCAGTTGCTCCTCGGGATGAATGTAGCATGTTTATTTATTGATTTATGTGTTTTTAGTGTGTCTAATCTTTTAACTTTATCATGAGCAACAATGTTGGCTACTTTAATGTTTTGATAATGTTTAACATGTTAAGAGTCTTAAAAATGAAGACAACATGTTTTAAGACTCTAGAGGGTATTAAAAATGAAAGTAGGCATACTTTAGAAATGTACAATCTGTCCCTGAACCATGTAAATTAGCCTTCAAGTCCAGTGAGTGAGTGTTGTTGCAACCTGCCCTAATACAGGGTTGCAAAACGTCAGGTCATCATTCAACATAATTGGGGTAGGCCGAGTACAGTTGTATCAATTTTTGCTTTTTGCACACATATTGACTGGATATTGATATTTTTGCACATATAAAGACTTTTCATTCCCTCATGAGGTGTCCTCATCTCTGTACAGACACTATAAATGTCATTATAAATGTCATGTTTAATTCTGATTTTGCAGTAATTATTAATGCACTTGTTATACTACAGGATAGGGATGAATGGTAGATTTCAAAGCAAAAAATTGTGAAAAAAACAAAAAAAAAAAACACTGAGTTACATTTGTTAAAGCATAATGTTTAACACCCATTCCCTTGCAGTGGATACACTTAAAAAATTACCTAAATAAATAATGAAATAAACAAGAGAACCAATTCACAATAATTTGATAAGTTAACTAATTTAAAAAAATAACTTAAATACTTTAGTTAATCTAATGAGTAACAGGAAGTCTACTGAATTAAAAATTTCTGGTAACACTTTAGTATAAGGACCAATTCACTATTAACTAGTGTCTTATTAGCATGCATATTATTAACATATTGGCTGTTACTTATAAAGCACATTGTGCATGACCATGTTCTACATCCCTAATTCTACCCTAAACTTAACAACTACCTTACTAATTATTAATAAGCAGCAAATTACTAGTTTATTGAGGCAAAAGTCGTAGTTAATGGTTTGTTAATAGCGAGAACTGGACCTTAAAATAAAGTGATCAAAATTATTGTCATGGCAACTAAGGATAGTTTAACATTTAGCAATGCAAAGAGCTAACCTTATTTAACCTTTACGTTTGATTTTCAAAGCCCGCTGCATGATATGGGCAGTATTTTCCTCTTAAATCTAGAGGAAATGTATGCTGGGAACTTGCACAATATTTGAAGATAAAATTGTTTGTTCTGACTCAATTTGGAAAGTTAGGACAACAAGTTTTGAACAAATACTTGAGTATCTAATTAAGGTCAACAAAACTTTTGTTAGAAACATTTTTTAGAGTATTTTTGTATAACTCCTACTAAAAAAAAATCATTGTTCAGTCTACTTTTTTTTACATTTATTTTTTAAAAATGTGCAAGTCAGATTTTGTATTTATTTATTTAACAGTGCTTCAGCCCTGTGCAATTTATCGAGTAAACAAATAGAACAAACACATAAAACATAACTACTCTGAAACGGTGTGTGTGTGCGAGAGAGAGTGTGTGTGTGTGTGTGTGTTAGGGTGCTTTCACACCTGTAGATCGATTGCTTTGTTCCGAAACAGGGATTACAATTATTACAATGTTGCTTTTTATTCTTGGTGCGGTACGCTTTCACATGGCAATGTTTCTAAACGGACCAAATTTGTTAATACAAGTCATTTGAGTAAACTGTTCTCTCATTGGTCAAAGTTCCACGGTTTATTTTCCGGGATTCCGCTTAGCTGTCACAGCTGTCATCTGTCAGGATGGAACGACAACAGCTTCGCGGGCTTATTGTTGTTGTTGTTTTTTTGTAGATGTCGTTATATTAATTTATCACTTTGAGCAGGAGTCCAGGATTCATCGGGAAAACATTTTTAAAATGCACATACTAGGAAGAAGAGCAATAAGACGGCATTATAAAATGAAAAAGTGCGCTTTGATTTTGAATGGCGAAGACGTGCTCACCCACAGACATTCACAGGTTAATTTTGAAGTATTAGCAAAACAACAAAGCTAATGCTTTTCACGGAATTTACGTAATTACCCATTATACATTGTGATACATTAGATCGGATTGCTTTCTCACTACAACCGAACCGCTCCAGAATTAGTTTTCAATCGAGCCGAGACCACCTCGTTCAGGCGATCTCGGACCGATTGTTTTGGCGCAGATCCGAGCGCAATTGCCGTGTTCACATATTCCGAGCCGAGCTAAGGGGGGCAATGCACCAGGTTCCGAAACAACGGGCCAGGTGTGAAAGCACCCTTAGTCTTACAATTGTGGGAAATGTCACACTATCCCATTTTGTGCAATGGTTATGGGTCCAGTGGAGGGTCATTGGAAAGTGTTGTAACCCTGGCTGGTCAGTCAGGTTTTTTTCTATGTGGTAATTTGATGTGTAAAAGAAACATGTTATTATCGTCTGACATTGTCTCGGGTTACTTGCGTAACCCATGTTCTCTGAGTAGGGAAGGAGACGCTGCGTCGCTATGATGCAAACACCCTCTGGGTGTGCCGATTGTCTGAAGCCCATATAGAATCACGCCAATTCCTTGGCTGATGGCGTGGGTGCCAACTGTACACTCTTACGTCGCCATCCTTATACTGGCGAATGTGCCATCTGCTCCTCAGATTTCTCTGCCGAAAAAGGCCTCTTGTCGGCAGCGCGAGGAGCTTGGCAGCAGACGCAGTGTCTCGTTCCCTACTCAGAGAACATGGGTTACGAAAGTAACCCGAGTCGTTCGCTTTCATAGGTTCACTCAACGCTGCGTCGCTATGACGCAATGGGAACAATATACCAAACACGCCAAGCTAAAGTGCTGCCGTATCTGGCCCGATGAAGAACCAGATAGTACCCCCGGCTGGTTCAAGCGGACAAGACCAAGGAACCAGGAGCCGTGTCAAGATCCAAATTATAGGACCTGATAAGAGTGTGCGGAGAGGACCATCCTGCCACTACACAAATATCCTCTTGGGGGACTCCCCTAAAAAGAGCTTGAGAGGAAACCACAGCCCTCGTGGAATGCGCCTGAAGGCTGAGAGGTGAAGAAAGACCACGCACCTCGTATGCCAGTGAAATAGCGTCTCTAACCCAATGCAAAATTTTGTGCTTCGCTGCAGCAAGCCCCCGGCGGCCATCAACAAAGCATATTAACAGCTGGGGGAGATTTTCTCCAATGGCTAGAGCGGTCCACGTAGAGCTTCAAAGCTCAGACAGGGCAGGGCATGTGAAGTCTCACATCCCTGCCTGAAGCAAAAGGAGGAGGATGGAAAAAGTTAAGGGTAACCACCTGAGAGCGAAATTATGTGGACAAAACCTTGGGAACATAGCCCGATCTGGGTCATAAGGTTACTTTGACCAGACCCGGTGCGGAGTCCATACAAACCTCGCTGACAGAGAGAACTTGCAAATCCCCAACTTGCTTCAAAGAAGTTAGCGGCAACAAAAGAGTAACCTTGAGTCAAAATTCGCACTGGAGCTGACTCCAAGGGCTCAAAAGGAGCTTCCATTAAGCCCTCCAGGATGACTGACATGTCCCAAGAAGGAACTCCAAGGGGGCGTTGCTGGCTTCAGACGCCGAACCCCATGTATAAACATGAGGACTAACCGATGTCTCCCCAGGGGAACTTCATCCAATTCTCTCAGAGCGGCGATGCTGCGACAAACTCTCAGGGTAGTAGTAGCCACAAATTTTTCTTGCAGGAACCCCAGCACTGGACCTACAGGGCAGATGACTGGGTCCACCACATGGGCTAAACACCGTGACTCAAAGACCTTCCACTTGGAGGAATACAGCATCCTCGCGGAAAGGGCTCTGGCACAAGCGACAGTCTCCTGAACATTAGCAGGCAGACTAGAAGTAAAAGCTGGTGGCCTTATAGGGGCCATACCCACAGCTTCTGTGGGTTGAGGGTGTCAGATCTTGCCTTGAAGCTGAGATTTAGCAGAACTTTTCTGATCGGAATCTCCCAAGGAGGGCGATCTAGAAGAAAAATCAGCTCTGAGAACTACGTCTGAGACGGCCAGAACGGGGCTACGAGTAGGAGACGGACCCCGCTCTCCTTCACCCTGCACAGCACCGGCAGAATTCAACTTGACAGGCGGAAACACAAAGTTTCAGGTCCGGCCACGGGAGCGAACACATCTATGCCCAGAGATGCTGGGGAACTCAGGGAGAACCAAAGCAGGTATTAGGACTCCTGCGACGCAAAGAGGTCCATTTCCTCCCTGCCGAACAGTCCCAAATCTGGGCTACTGTTTGGCGGTTCATCCATCCCCCTGATCTGAGCTTCTGTCTTGACAGAAATTCCACTGCGCGGTTCAAGGCCCCCGGGACATGAACCGCTCTCCGGGAAAGGAGTCTGCCTTGAGCCCAAAGGAGAAGACTGCGCGCATGCCTGTCTAGGGTGCGTGACCGTGAACCCCCTTGGCGGTTTATATGAGATACCACCGCCATGCTGTCCATCCTGACAATCACGTGACACCCCTGTAGTGAGGGGAGAAAGTGTATCAGTGCCAGAGAGACGGCTCACAGTCCCAGGGGCAGCACCGGGGAGGCATTAATTCTGAGGCCAAGAAGTGCTCACAGAAACATTTTGGCATTCATTCTGAGACCAAGAAGTGCTCACAGAAACATGATGACCTAGCTTGAAGCGAGCCAAGCATGCGTTGAGGTTAGAAATCCGGGCAGAAGCCAGAAGGGCCTGCATCTGAACGGAATCCAAGTGAATCCCCAAGAAAACAATCTGTTGTGAGGGGGTAAAAACATTCTTTTTGGCGTTCATTCTGAGGTCAAGCAGTGCTCACAGAAACATTATGGCCTAGCTTGAAGCGGGCCAAGCAAGAAGACAGTCAGTTGTGAGGGGGTCACAGGCCAAGAAACAGAATGTGGTGAAGGAGAACATCCCTTTGGTAACTCACTAATTTCCTGGAGTGGCCTAAATGAGCTAATTGTCCAGGTAATTGAGTATACGGATGCCCTGGAGCCTCAATGGGGCCAGAGCAGCATCCATGCACTTTGTGAATGTCCTTGGTGCCAAGGCCAGGCCGAAGGGAAGAACCTTGTACTGGTAAGCCTTTCCCCCAAAGGCGAACCTGAGGAACTTCCTGTGATGCCGAGCAACCTGAATATGAAAATAGGCATCCTTCAGGTCAACAGTGACAAACCAGTCTCCTGCACAAATTCTGTGACATAATAGACTTCAGTGTCAAATCTCGACCGCTGGAGGAACCTCTTCTATCACTCCCTTGTGGAGGAAGGAAAATAGTTCCCGCTGTAGCACAGAAGCCCCTGAGGCGCTGCTCACTACAGTCAGGTGAACCCCATCAAAGCGGGGGGAGGGGGTGGAGTTGTGACAGAACTGAAGTGCGTAACCAAACTGAAATGTGCAGAGAACCCAAAGTGATACCCCTGGTAGACGCACGGTACCATTCGTGAAAGAATTGCGATAGAGGAATCAGAGTGTTGCAGTCTAGAGGACATACCTGTGTGGGGTGCCGAGATGGTTTGGAGGGGATAACATCATCTACCGCGAAGGAGAGCCTCTGGCGTCCTGATGCAAGATGAGGAAGCCCACAGGGTTGAGGGCCTGGTCTGTGACTGGTACAGGGTCTGCTGGCTTTGGGAGAGAACTGAACGTGTCTCCTATCACATGAGCAGCAGGTGACAAAGAAATAGGCAGTAACTAAGGGGAGAAAGCCTGGTGCGTCTCCCACCCCCCATGTCGAAAGAGAGTGTGACTGAACGATTACTGCACACCGAAACGCGCTGGTTGGCGGATGTGACAGAATCCGAATGAGGAGAGCATGTTAGAAGTGGGCAGAAATGTATAAACGGTCTGGCCCCCGAAATTTGTGAAGAATAACACAGAAAATCTGTTTGAACAACAAACCAGTGTGTTATAATAAGGAATACACTAAATAATATAGTAAGACACCAATTTGCAATATATAAGCAGCAAAACAAGCGGTTTTGGCTGGGATTTTTTTTTTTTTGCATTAGTAAGGCGGGCGGAAAAAGGCTGCTTCCAGGATCTGGAGATCTCATGATGCAGATCGCTGAAAGAGGGCAGCTTTCTCCACGCAGTGCTCGAATTTGGGGCGCTCAGAAACCGCTCGTTGTGTTTAGATGACTGGGATTCACGGGGCTCGTCGGGCCAATCAAAAGAGAGCTTCTCTGTGGCGCGCGTCAGCACGTCTACAAGCTCTGAGTAGGCCGCGCTTCTTGGCCGCTAGGTGGGAGAGCGTCGGCTGAAGCAGGCCCAAAATCCTCGGAGTCGGACGCCGCAGTGTACAAAACATCCTCTAGCTCGAAGGAAATAGTTTCACGTGCCTCCGGGCTAGGGCATTCATAATCATGTGAGAATTAAACCGGCGAATCCTCGCACTCGGGCGAGAGAGGGAGAGAAAGGGAGAGGCCCGTCTACTCGCTCTGCATTGCCTCGAGCTCCACATCCGAACCCCAGGCCGCGTATTCATGGAGGGCCTCGGCCACTTCCGGAGCGCGACGGGGAAAGACGGAAGACTCCTTCTCAAAAACCGTGAGTCTAGTTTTTGCAGAGGGTTTTGAGGCGGATTTTTTTTTTTTTTACATTAGAAGTGCCGTAAACCGCCTCGCGCGCATGCGACAAACACTTGACATACTTACCGTGTGGGTCGTCACTCGCAATGAAGCGAGAACACAGCGGCTGGCAACGGCGAAATTCCATGCACTTCACCGCAAGGAGAACAGTGTTCCACTGTCGCAGTTGCCGAAGTGCAAATGGAGAAAGCTCAACAAAAAACAGTCCAGATATCGAGCCAGAAAAACCGCAACAGAAGGGCTAAAATGGCCCCTTCGTGAAGGCAGAGAAATCTGAGGAGCAGATGGCGCGTTCGCTAGTATAAAGCCCAATTTATACTTCTGCGTCAAACCTATGCCGTAGCCTACGCATAGACGCACACCCTATGCCGTAGCCTGATGTGCACCTCTCCAAAAATCTAACAGCGCGTCAATTCTACTCGGACCGCAAGCGCTATGATTGGTCTGCTAGAACCCCTCCCTCCGTATGTACTTGAGTTTTGTGTGTGTTTGTGTGCACTTTAATATATTTTAATGTTACACCTTCTTACATAAAATAAAACAAAGCAAAGAACAAGTGTCTTATCATTTATTACACTACATAGCATTATACATCAGTAGTTGTCCGTGACAAACAATGTTTATCTGCCGTGGTACAAGTCCTTGTGGAGATTGAAAGAATGCCATCTTCTCCTGTTCCGTTGTTGTCTCCTTTTTGTAGTTTTAAATAATGATTTAATGATTTGATATTTATTTGCCGCAGTCACGGCTATAATGTTTCTCCAACGAGCCGCTTCTTCTTCGGCTTTTGCCGTGGTACTGCGGGTTACACCAGCAACATGCCCGTGGACACTGCAGACTAGCGGTTTACATGTGTACTGCACGTCGACGTGGACAACGACGCAGAAGTATAAATGAAAACTGACGCATAGCCTATGGCGTAGGTCCGACGCAGAAGTATAAATCAGCCTTTAGTCTT